CCTTGGGCCGGGCTCGGGAATTGGGCCCAAATAGACAGCCCTACATGTTTGGATTGGATTGGCTTCCTTTTTTTTCCTTCTTTTATTGATAGATGTTTTGCTTCTTGGCTATGAGGTGGTTGAAAGTTTCCATGTTTTTCTCCCTCAAGCCTCATCACACATCAGCATGTATTTCAAAGCAATCCAAGATAGTCCTCAATCCACTTAAATTTACAAGAGTTTTATATTAAATAAATTATTGCCTTCTTGATATATAGGCCTGTCCATCCGGGCCGGCCCGGCCCGGCCGGGCCCGGAAATCCGGGCCCGGGCCGGGCAAAACCGGAGCCCGGACCACCGGGCCGGGTCCGGGCCCGGGCCCGACCGGGCCGGGTTCCGGGCCGGCCCGGGTTTTTCTGTTTTTTTTTTTTTTTTTTTTTTCAAATTTTTAAATTTTATTTAAGTTTTAAATTATAAAAAAGACAAAATAATAATAGTAAAATAATAATTTTATTAATCACTTAAAATAACATAAATTATAAATAAAAAATTATAAAAATAAATTTTTTATTAATAATTAATAAATCATTTACAAATTACAAGTATAAATTTATTTTGGAATTCATCGCATCACAATAGATAAGTACATCCCACCTAGGTTTTTTTTAATTTCTTTTCTTTTTTTTTGATAAAAAATGCTAAAAATTAGTTTAATATTATTATATTTTATATAATTATGTATTAGTATATACTTCTAAATTATTATGTAACTATATATTATATATACATATATTATATGTAAATATATTGTATATATTTATAAGTTATAATTTAAGAGAGAGAGAGAATCGCATAAGTAACCCTGTAGCCGTTGCTCGTTGGGCCAATGGGGAAGTAACCATTGTAATATACTATACTTATATACTAAGAGAGAGAGTATACACACACACATATATAAAAGAGTATACTTATATAATAGGGAGTATACATATATAAGAGAGAGTATACTTATATATACATATATACTAAGAGAGAGAGTATACACACACACATATTATATATATATATAATAGAGAGTATACTTATATAATATGGAGTATACATATATATGAGATAGTATACTTATATATACATATATACTTATATATATGTATACTTATATATACATATATAAGAGAGAGTATACTTATATATACATATATACTAAGAGAGAGAGTATATTAGTATATATATATATATATATTATATAAGAGAGAGTATACATATATAAGAGAGAGTATACTTATATATACATATATACTAAGAGAGAGTATATATATACATACATGCATACATTATACATATATAAGAGAGAGTATTCTTATATATACTTATATAAGAGAAAGTATACTTATATATACTTATACATATATATACTTATATAAGAGAGAGTATACTTATATATACTTATATACTAAGAGAGAGTATATATATACATACACATATGACATATTATACATATATAGAAATATATTATATAAGAGAGAGTATACTTATATATACATATATACTAAGAGAGAGTATATATATACATACATGCATACATTATACATATATAAGAGAGAGTATTCTTATATATACTTATATAAGAGAAAGTATACTTATATATACTTATACATATATATACTTACATAAGAGAGAGTATACTTATATATACTTATATACTAAGAGAGAGTATATATATACACACATATGACATATTATACATATATAGAAATATGTTATATATACATATATTATACATATATAAAAATATATTATATATACATATATTATACATATTATATATATTTATATATACATATATAATATAATACATAAAAATAAAAAATAAAAAATAAAAAATAAAAAAAACTACTATTCCGGGCCGGGCCGGGCCCGGCCCGGAGCCCGGACTTGGCCCGGGTTTCCGGGCCGAGGCCGGGCCCGGGCTGTTTTGGACCCGCCCTATTGATTATATATACTGTGGTTGTGCTTCAGAAAGTTGCCACTCTATTACTAAAATTACAACACAAAAGAATCTTAATTCATGGATTCAGAAACTCGTCTTAATTGTAAAAATAGTGATAGTATATTTTTCAATCACAATCTTCTACAGTGGATAATTATGATTTGCTTTAAGGGGCTGTTTGGTTCGTTTTTTAACTCGGTGGAAAAGTTTTATACCGCCATCACATCAGATTTTTCATGGCCACGTAGGATATAAGCTTTCCATCGTTTTTTCCATCTTTGGTTCGCTAGGGTTGAAGAAGGGAAACTCGGTGAAAATTGCCGCCACATCAGATTTTTCTCTCTTCCCCAATTCCTTCCTCAACCTCGTGAAATTGACGAAAACTGCAGCCACGTCGGCTTGCCATATAAACAAAAGTTTTCTCTTTTTTCCATGCGAACTAAACACAAGAAAAATAAATACATTGGTTTCCCATCATTTTTTTTTGTGCGAACCAACGCGAAACAATCTATTTCTTGAAAAAGTTTGGAAAACTAAAAACTTGTGTTTTTGTACATGGAAATACATTTCTCTATATCTAGGAAACGAACCAAACAGCCCCTAACCGAAAAGCGGAAAAAGTTATCTCAAGATGAATATCGGCAATTAATTATCGGATTTGAAATGAATCACAGCCCTTCAATAAATAATAGACTGATAATGATAATTTTAAAAAAGACTCTCTATTACTGATTCTTCCAAAAAAGAAGCTATCAGAAGATAACAATAATGAGAACAAAGTAATGGAGCAATTTGGCAATTGAAAGCACCACATGATCATTGGAAACAGAGACTGTGCAAACTCTTGTATGCTCTCGCGCCTAACATGGCTCATAACGGATCAAGGACAAACCCAGTTGGGCCCATTCCTCATGGCTCCCTAATAACAACACTAAAATGTTATGGCAAGTCAATCGCATAGCTACAAAACTGAGCTCAGATACGTCCAACGTTGACTTTCTCCATGATGTTATCACACATGTTCCCTGATACAAAACTGCAAGAAATACAATGCACCGGACATCTATAAAGAGCCAATTGATGAATGGAGTTTAATATCACGATAAATCTCAGTAGAAAGAATATAGCGAGTCGTAGACATAGTACATAATGATGCATTTGATGAAGTATGATAGACACATAATCTTTCAAACTATTTAATACATTATATATACATATAGTTCATTGTTCAAGTTCAAATCCAAATTAAAAAAAAAAAAATTCAATCATGGTAAAATTACATTATTGCATCAAATTGTGCTCGTATCAATGAAGCTAAGTATCTGGTGCACCGAATTCACAATATCTTCTGCACTGCAGCTCGTTTCACCCGTAATCTGGTAAACAACTAAAAATGATCAGTACATATTAGCTTCAAATTAAAGTTTAAATTCTAAAGAACTAAACTTCTTTTTTACCTTGACATTAAAAGAGTATAGCACAGTCTGCTCAATAGTGGTTATGTTAGTATGCAGTATACTAAACTGCATGTCCTCAAGCGCAGCAATGGTCTTAATAAGCTGCTGAGGCCTCCTACGAGACAATATCTTGATCAGCGCATCGAACCCAAGAACCCTGACTTCGATATTGGCAAGGACGGACTTGTTCTCAGCCATGTCCTCTTGAAGGTTGGGGTCGAGATCGAGGATTCTCATGGTGTCGTTGTCTGAGCAAGGAAGAGCGAGAGGTGGGAAGAAGGGTTGTGAAGGAGGAGGAAGCAAGGGAGGAGCTTCAGCGGGGTTTCTTGGAGGTTCGTTGCCTCCGAAGAATCTTCGTCTTTTTTGTGATTCTAAGCATTGCAGGAGTTGCTCTAGTTCTCGCACGAATTCTATGGCTCCTCCGATTATTGAAGCTTGATCTCCCTATAAAAAGTTTGGGGCAAGAGAAAAATACAATGAACATAAGTATATATTGTGTATAGTTCCCCTAGTATTATTTTGATAGTTTTAACAGGAAAAATGATAAAGTCATGCATCTATGCAACTTTTCATTTAAAAAATAATGAACATGAAATTTTTCTTAAAATTAGGAGAGAAGAGAAGATCAAGTGTATTAATTTGCTTGTGATATGTAGAGGAGTAAATATACGAGTTCCCCCATCTTGCTAAACCCTTTTAATTATTTTACCCTAAATAGCTCATAAACATGAACATGAACTGTCAATAGTTTCCTTTGAAGATTTCAGATTCTATATATATCTCTAGCAATTCTTTTCATTTTTCTATCCTACGTAAAACTAGAAGGAACATTAAAAAAAACCATCATAAGGAATGTTTGTCCGTGTAAGGATCCTAATTAAATGCATGAAGTGGTGATATTTATGTAACTCACCCTTTGAACGTAAGATCCCGGCATGAGAGACCTCAACACACGGAGATGCTCATTCATCTGCCTTCTCCGATTCCTCTCCACCGCGATATGCGTCATCCTCTGGCTCTCCACCTCCTCGCTCGTCTTCATCGCTCTCGCCCTCTTCCTCTTATTCTTCACCTCTAAATTGTTCCCACCAATCTTCTGGCCACCACTAAACCCTAGCTGTTCTTGCATCTCGGATAACCTCCTCCCTTCTTCCTCCTCCTCCTCATCCTGCAGAAGCATCTGAGGTTGCGGCGGAGGAAGGGAATTAATCATGGAAGGTCCCTCTTCTCCATGCGTCTGCTTCTCGTTCATCAAGTTGAACGATCTCAACAAGTAGTTATCGTCCTCGGACAGGTTTTTCGACTGGTTGAGGCCGAGCTTCGGGCCAAAGTCTGCGAACTGCATGATGTCGGCGAAGCTGAGCCTGTCAAGGGATATCTGGTGCTGCGGCGGCGGAGGATGGTTGCTGAGCATGTAGTCCACCATCTCGACACTAGACTCCGGAGCCTGAGCTTGGTGCACAAAGTCCTGCGAGCAAAAACAGGCTAAGAAAGATACAGAAAGAATGAACTTCTACGTACTGATCAAGTAAAGGTTTACATGTGATCGACGTACCGAGTAGCTTTCTTGTAACTCCTTGTCCATTGTGTGTGTGGACAAGCTAAAGTTTTACTACGAAGAAGAAGACAATATAAGATTGGAAACTGAGAGTCAATGAGAGGGTTGAGGGATTTTAGGTAAGTAGAGAGAATGGGGTGAGGAGATCAAGGACATGGCTCTCACTTTTTATTAAGGGGGTTTTGCATATATACCCCTAGCATATTCCATATTTGCAAGCTTAACCTCAAGATCTTGATATTTGGAAAATTATCCCCCAATTTGCTCAGGTTTATTCTTTTTACCCCTTTTACTTAACAATTTTAGTTTTTTAAACGGGATATTGTTGCAAACCTATTGGAAATTAATTATTGGAAATTTTGACATTGCCATGTTTAAACACTAATATTCTTAAGTGCGAGCAGCAGAATGATCCAATTAGCCAACACGGTAGTATTAAGGGGTAAGTATGCAAATTAATACCAAGAGGTAACTTTGCAAATATTAAGGATTTGAGGTTCATATATGAAAGAACCCCTTTTAGTTATGAAAAATATTATGATCTGTTATTTGTTTGGGTCACGTATGTGGTTAGGGGAGTAGAGATTTTGTGGGAGCCTTGGGCATTAATTGGAAGCAAAGATGAGCAAGAGGTCACCACCTCCACCTCTTGGTTATTTATGGATTTCACAGGTAACCAACGCTCTCTTTCTCTCCTTTTTTACCTTTCGGAGCCTTTTTGTCTCTGGCGGCAACTGGGTCAAAATTGAATGTGGGGATTGATTTGAAGAAAGTGTGGTTCTTGTGTGTGACGTTGAACCCTAAGATCACGTTAAAGTTTGAAGAAAAAAAGGGGGCTAATTTTAGAAAACCCATGAGCTTTGGGTTTTTTTTGCGGATAACCCCATAAACTATTTTAATTGCACAAGAACCCCTGAACTTTTAGAGGTTTTTGCACAGTACCCTCATGAGCTTCTTTTATTCCACTAAATGCCTCGAAGATTTTCCACCTTACTCCAACGTAACGCCATCGATTCCAATGTGTAATTCGTCTAGCATGCGGCTAGAATAGCTGATGCTGCCAAAACTTAAAAAATGTGAACCCCCCCACGGAGATGAATCACACACACAAATCCTAAAATATATTTGCTCGTTGTATTCTTCTAATGATGATATTGACTTGAGTATATTGAAGGGACGATGCCAAAATTGCTGTCAGAAAAGAAAGGGAAAAATTCTCTCAGCCCTCAAAAACTAAGGAAACGTGCTTCCCACCCCCAAGACTTGGTCAATGGGTGTTTTACCTCCAAAAATAAAGATTCTGTTCTCTGAGTCTCCAAAGCACAAAACCCAAGAGATTAAAATATGTGAAGACCATAATACCATTCCCTCTCTTTCTTTTTTTATTAAAATATGATGAGGATTATTTTATTATTTTTATTTTCTCTCTCTCTTTATCATAATGTACTAAGATGATAGTTGAAATGATTGATGATGATTATTTTATTATTTTTGTTTTTTATTATTTTCGTTGTTTAAATTGGGAGATTGTTAAAGTTACGGGTTAATTGTCAAGGTTACGAGTTAATTGTTAATATTACGGGTCAATTGTTAAGGTTATGAATCCTCTCTCTCTCTCTCTCTCTCTCTCTCTATCTCTCTCTCTCTCTATCATGATGTTACTTTGATGATATTGAAATGATTGAAGATGATTATTATTTTAGTATTTTTATTTTTTATTATTTTCGTTGTTTGTATTGGGAGATTGTTAAAGTTACGGGTTAATTGTTAAGGTTAAGAATTAATTGTTAATGTTACGGGTCAATTGTTAAGGTTATGAATCCCCCCCCTCTCTCTCTCTCTCATGATGTTACTTTGATGATATTGAAATGATTGAAGAGGATTATTATTTTATTATTTTTGTTTTTTATTCTTTTCATATTTTTAGAATATTTGTTGTTAAAGATAATTGTTGGTTGTAAAGGTTATGCATTGTTTGTTAAGGTTACGGGTTGGTTGTTAAGGTTACGGGTTTGTTGTTAAGGTTATGAGTTTGTTGTGTAGGTTACGGATTTGTTGTTAAAGTTACAGGTTTAATTTTTAAGGTTACGGGTTTAATTGTTAAGGTTACGTGTTTAATTGTTAAGGTTACGAGTTTAATTGTTACGGTTACGGTTTAATTATTAAGGTTACGGGTTTAATTGTTAAGGTTACGGGTTTAATTGTTACGGTTATGAGTTTAATTGTTAAGGTTACGTTTTTAATTATTAGGGTTACGGGTTTAATTGTTAAGGTTACGGTTTAATTGTTAAGGTTACAGTTTAATTGTTAAGGTTATGGGTTTAATTGTTAAGGTTACGAGTTTAATTATTATGGTTACCGGTTTAATTATTAAGGTTACAATTTAATTATTAATGTTACGGGTTTAATTGTTAAGGTTACGAGAGAGAGAGAAGGGATCCATAACCTTAACAATTGACCCGTAACCTTAACAATTAAACCCGTCACCTTAACAATTAACCCATAACCTTAACAATTAAACATGTAACCTTAACAATTAAACATGTAACCGTAATAATTAAACCCGTAACCTTAACAATTAAACCTGTAACCTTAACAATTAAACCCATAACCTTAACAATTAAACCGTAACCTTAACAATTAAACTGTAACTGTAACAATTAAACCCGTAACCTTAATAATTAAACCCGTAACCTTAACAATTAAACCCGTAACCTTAACAACAAATTCGTAACATACACAACAAACCCATAACCTTAACAACAAACCCGTAACCTTAACAACCAACTCGTAACCTTAACAAACAATGCATAACCTTTACAACCAACCATTATCCTTAACAACGAATATTCTAAAAATACGAAAAGAATAAAAAACGAAAATAATAAAATAATAATCCCCTTCAATCATTTCAATATTATCAAAGTAACATCATGATATATATATATATATATATATATATATAGAGAGAGAGAGAGAGAGAGAGAGATGATTCATAACCCTTAACAATTGACCCGTAACATTAACAATTAACTCGTAACCTTAACAATTAACCCGTAACTTTAACAATCTCCCAATACAAATAACAAAAATAATAAAAAAGAAAAATAATAAAATAATCATCATTAATCATTTCAACTATCATCTTAGTACATTATGATAAAGAGAGAGAGAAAATAAAAATAATAAAATAATCTTCATCATATTTTAATAAAAAAGAAAGAGAGAGAGAAGGGTATTATGGTCTTTACATATTTTAATCTCTTGGGTTTTGTGTTTTGGGGGCTCAGAGAACAAAATCTTTATTTTTGAGGGTAAAACACTCATTGACCAAGTCTTGAGGGTGGGAAGCACGTTTCCTTAGCTTTTGGGGGCTGGAAGCATTCTTCCCAAAAAGAAAATAATTAGTATAAGTCCGAAATTAAAAAGTTAGAACACCAGGCCTGAACGGGCAGTCGTGATTTCACTGCCTAGAAGATAGAGGACTCGTCTATCGTCCGGGCATAGTTGATCCTCTCCTCCTAGTGGTAAAAGCCCCCGGAAATGGCCGATCTCTGTACTCGGGCGAGAGTAGCAGAGTTTCTGCTCAGACGAAGATGGTTGCCCGGAAAAATAATGAACACAGTAACAAAACTTTGAGAAAGAAATGGAGGAAGAATCGTTTGCAGAAGAATAGAGGATGTTGCTTTTCACTGTGTCTTCCGAGGAGGAGAACCCCGATATATATATAGGAGCTAGAGGCCAAAGAGTCGTCTGTGTGTGTTATGCAAAGTCCACAAAACCCAAAACACAATTGAAGGTCCAATAAAATGTGAACCAATATAAACCTCTTGGACTTCCTTTCATTTTCCAATGTGGGACTATTCATAAAGGAAAAATTGCCTTTTCATTGACAAAATATCCAACAGTCCCTCCAAAAAGTAATATTAACTGAAAACTCAAAATCAAATAAATAAATCAATAAATTATAAAAAGTATATAGGTTGGATAACCTTTCGTATCGTGAATTCGGGAGAGATAGCTTTCGGCTTTGAATCTTTACTTAGTGAGTCGCCATCTGAGGGACATAATGGACTAGGCCTTAAATTAGGCCCCTTGAACCACGTATTGACGAAAACACACACAATACGTCTTCATCAAATACGCAAAGCGGGTTGAGCGTTAAATACCATGCTCACAATAATCGACTCATGAGAGTTTCTAGAAGTTAGCTCAGCCCCCCTCCCCCCCAACAGCAGCCATCACGGTTCTTCTCACATAGGTAAGTCCTCCAAGGGTACTACAGGTAGATATCATACCCTCTGTAATTCATGCGTTAGACTTATTAAGAGTAAAACACAGCCTAACCAGTTGTATCATAAGAGCATCGTCATCATAGAGAAGGGGTAGTAGCAGATGCTACATAATGATATATAAATATATCTAGGTTGATGCTCCACCCGAGTGTCACTTGTCCATCTTGTTTCTATCACATTGAACTAACATTGGGACTACGTCTCTAAATAAGGGTTGGGTTACCGCTGTCAGTGACCTCATCTATGGGCTTAACCCCATCTCCCTCGATGAATCTAGAACCACACTCCTGGATAATCCCTTAGTTAAAGGGTCAGCAAGATTTTTCTCAGACTTTACAAAGTCCAAGATCATAACTTTGCCTAACAGACGTTGTACTGATTTATATCTTATTTGAATATGTCTATTAAGTATTTTATTTACATGTACTTGCTTTAGAAGCTCTACGGTGGATCAAGAATCAGAGTGAATGAAAATAGGAGGAGAGGGTTTAGGGACCAAAGGAAGTTCAGAGAGAAGATCTTTTAGCCATTCTGTTTCTATGCAAGTGGTATTAAGAGCAATCAATTCAAACTCCATGGTGCTCCTGTCAATCACTGTTTGCTTACAGGATTTTCAAGATACAGCTGCACCATCAAAAATAAATACATATCCAGATGTTGACTTTACACTGTTAGAATCTGTGACCCAATTGGCGTTATTGTGCCTTTCTATAGCATCAGGGTAACTAGTATAAGTCAAACAATAGTCAACTGTGCCTTTTAGGTATTTGAATACTCTTTCTAAGGTAGACCAGTAGTCTTGGCTAGGGTTGCTGGTA